GTATAAGATATATATTAAAAATTACCTTGAATTACGTAGAAATTTTCACAAACAGAAAAAATTTATTAGTTTGTTGGAAATTGCTTACAAAAAAAATGCCTTTGAATTGAGTTGAAAATTTAAAGAAAAAATGAACTTAGATCAAACTTCTAACTTAGAAGGTAATTTTCGTTTTTTTTTTTTTTTTTTTTTTAAATAAAACATAATACAAAATATTATTGTAAATTTTTATAATAAGATTTTAAAAAGTAAATATGGTCAACACTCCGATCACTCAATCGGATTATTTTAGTAATGAAAAGTCCTGCTACCGAGAATGCCCATTCCAATTTAATTGATGTGAGTGGAATCGCGTTTAATGCATTTAAGAGAAGACAAATGTTATGTGTTTTTTCACCTGTAGTCTAGAAGACTTCTAGTTCGTTTTCGAGTTTTCTTTCAGTACTTCTTTTGCTCTCTAGTATTCTTGATTTGTCTACCTCAACTGCTTTAATAGAAACATCAAGCTTATAGCCCAATAATTCAACAGTTCGTTTGTATTTAATAATCAGGTTTATGAAGAAAATCTTCATACTTGCAGACTTCGTACTCGTTTGTATCCTTTCCCAATTTGCACAACTTGGCGTTACGCAGTTATTGAAGCTACTGGGTATGGTTAAAAATTAATACAGCATAAGCACAATTATTCTAGATATTACAGGTTCTGACAAGTATTTTCAGAGTCCTGCCACAAATAAGCTACACATTGATTAATAACCATTTGTGGCATGCCATAATGAGCAAAATTTTAAAAACTAATACGTACTTTTAAAATTAATAAATACAAATGTATTCTGACAGTTTACGAGTTACTGTAATTATACTTTCTATTTGCAAAATTTCCTCAACCTTAACACAAAATAAGAAAAAAATAAACTTTTAAGAAATTTGCGGAATTTCCGGAACGAAAATTTCCCGGTATATTTCCCGGGTTAAAAAAACAACCGGGGACCTGTTCCCAGTTGTTTTTTTAACCGTTTGAGAAACCCTAGTTCATATACTGTTTATCTAACCACCTAAAAGGAATTTGTGGGCTAATAAACAAAAATTGTTATATCCTTCTAATCGGACTGTTCACCACAGATTTTGTTTTTGTGTAGAATTTTAGAGTGGTTTTTAGATGGCTGTGAATACTTGGCACAGTCTTTATCGTAGACAGTACATACTGTAAAATATTTGTGTAAACATTACTGAGGAGGAATCGACGGAAAAGTTGGATCCGAAATGCATTTAAATAAACACATATAGAAATTAAAATTACTTCTGGTTAATTCTTGAACTCTGGTGAACAGTCGGATTAGAAGGACATAACAATTTTAGTTTATTAGTCCACAAACCTCTTTTAAGTGGTTAGATAAACAATCGATTAAATCAACTAATATTGCTGAATTTACCTGAGTTTATATACTACTTATGATTGTAAGAACTTCTTCAAAACTTTAGATCGAATTTTTAAAAGAAGCATCATCTTCAGCTATTCAGATGATAAATGTTGCAAGCTGAAATTTATTTTTGAAATTTTCTCACTTTTTACGAAAGGGAGAAAATTCCTTTCACGATAAGGTCTATATTTATATATACACATTACTGTGAAAATATTTAATAAAGCTATAGGAGTATTCTTTAAAGCCAACAGTCGCCAACTTTTCTGACCTGACGGACCACTCACAATTTTGAATCCGGCGGACCACTATCGTAAATTTTTTAAAAGTATACTGTACAAACATCTATAGAATAATGATAATAAAGTAAATTGAAACTTTTGTAAATATGAAATTGATTTGTTTAATTATAACAAATAAGTATGAAGTTTGTTGCTACTTGAAATAAGTTCATGGATTCTCGGCTCTTTTTCACAAAGGATGACAATTGCACATTATTTACTGTTGATTATTTATTGATTTATCGACATTATTATTTATTGATAAGTCATTTTGTGTTTGGTTTTAGATTCGAATATAAAAGCCTCAATGAACGAGGAAAAGAAATCGAGCATTTTACATTTCTTTCTTAATACTTCGCATAACCTTAAGTTGATCAATGTTCAAATTTCTCTATTGAGCACCAAAATGTTCTCGCATACCATCAGAGGTCCACGGACCACCGGTTGGTGACCGCTGGACTAAATTAATATGACACAGTATCAAAATATCAAGATGCCTTTGTTTGAAATAGAGGAACTTTCTACAATGTTTTCACACTTAATGGGCTGGTATAGCCGAGAGACTGGGAATCCCGGACGCCGGGAAAAGACGAAATGAAATATTGTAAAAATTAAAAAGTAGGCAGCACTATCATATTACGTCACGATTTCTATCAGCCACATAGTAATGACATATGTTTTTACGTTTGCGCATTTTTGTCCATGTTTCATTGAAAACTCATTGTTTTTGAAAGATTTTACTCTTTTAGTTAAGTATTTATCATAGGTATCGCATTAAGTTTTTTACACATAAAAACTTAATAAACGTGATAAACAAAAGCGTTTTATGCTAGTTATTTACCATATCAAAGTTTAAATAGCTTTGGAAAGAGACGTTATCTCTGATTAGAATCAAACATGCCGATTTAAGGTAATTCTGTACACTTTCTCGAGAAATTACATACAGAGCTTTAGTGTTCGGGATTGTCTCGAAGTTCATTTTATGATATATTTATTCTGTTTTTCTCAAAATAACTCTAGAATTAATTTAGAATTTAATAATTTCATTTGTATTTCTGCTACGTGGTATATAATGTATATAATAGCAATATTCTGTGCCATAAAGTTATTTTTAGCTGATAGAAATTAGTTTGATAAGTTATTTGTTTAATGTTAAACAAATGTTTAAATTCATGATTCTGTATTTGTTTATTTTCACTTTGTAATTTAAATGTTTATATAGGTTAGACTAATGCTAATTTTATCTACTTATATTCGAATGAAACGTTACTCTTATAATGTATAAACTTTTATTTATATAAAATAGTAGAAAAATCAAATCGGATAAATTTTATAAAATAAAATAAATTAAAGTAGCAAAATAGTTTTTAAATAGAGAACATATACTATAAAACTTTTAATAATATCATCAAGTGATTAGTTTAAACGTAAAATTATTATGATAAGTTTGATATAAAAAAGACTTAAATCAATTTGTCAGGATATTCAGAATAAAGCTATAATTAATGTTTTATTTATTCTTGTACTTCGAAAAATATTTGATGCCTTTTACAATATTTAGAAAATCCAGCATAACATAAAAATTAACAAAATGTTGCCAGTCATTTCTGTTATATATTTTTCTCATTGCATTTAAAATTCAAAGGATATGAAATTACAGAAAGAATTTAAATTAAAACGTTAAATCTATTCTAGAAATTGCATTATGATACTGTTAATGAAACATTTAAATTAAACGAAATTAAGTAATAATATGCGGAGGGTTCAATTCTAAAATGAACAAAGTCCACACAAACCACTTTAAAGATAGTGTCATTTAATAACTATTATTTATCTTAAAAATAAATCAAAATACATTAAACTGATATGTATACTTAATGCATTGTATAATGTCTGATCTTTCCAAATAACTTGAATACAACGTAAGCAATAAAATAAATTTTAATGTGGAATTGGTTCACTTTAGAACTAAACTCCTCCATATATTGATTCTGAAATATGTTAATGTATTAAAAATAATTTATAACGACTTTAAATTAAATATATATAATATTAGAATTGAATTATATGCCGTGTATACAGATTTTTTTTTTCATATCTTAACTGTTTTTAAAACGAAATTATCATCTTCATTTCATTTATGAAATAATGTTAAATTTTCCTTATTCTTCTCTTACACACACTTCTGTAGCGCCATGCAGGATATGTCTATGCATTATGTTTTCTGGGATCCAGTTTTTGGACAGATGTCTAAAAGTTAATATTTTAATCTTGTGTGCCTTCTCGTCAGTTCGAAAGAATAATATCTTTCAAAGCTTCTTTCAATTAAAAACAGAAAAAAATCTTATATGGCTAAGAATCATGATGATGAAGAAACTGCTTTATGTGAAGTGGTTAGCGTTTTAGTAGACGTTTTTCATAAATATTTCACGAAGTTGCGGACGTTTCTCACGAATGTTAAGGCAAAGTTTTAATGCTGAGAATCTTGCTGCATGTTTCCTTATTCAGAGTTGTCCTTTGAAACACAAAATATGTATTTGTATACAGTATTTTGTGTCTCGAGGAACATAATTGAAACAAGAATCTTATAGAAAAGACATGGTTCTTGTCTCAAAAAAATTGTCAATAACAGACTATTAATAAAAGACGTAGAGTAGAAGCAAAATCGAAGACGACAGGAACTGTTCAGCACTTATGGAGACTAGTTACAACACTTCAGAGAAAGCGCAATTGGCATACTTTCCCAGAAACTTGTACAGGAGAGAAGTAAGAACAATCCTCAAATTAAACAATCAGCCCTTCTATTATACAAATAATATATATATATAAAACCTTTTATATATATATTATTTATAACCTTATTAAACCTTTCATAAATTGTTGCTTCACCATATAATGATAGACTTCTGCATTAAGATCGTGAGAAACTAAATACTTTTTCCTATTGAAAACATTTCTGTGGCATTTTCAATCACAATATTTGAATATAAATGAAATCTCCCAATTTTGGTAATGTTCTGCTAAATTATATTTTGAAAAGAATGCATTAAGTCAATTTTGAGATTTAAATATGTTTTTTTCCTACTATTTGTTATAAGTTTTAGAGGAATTGAGATATAGTGTTACAATTTAACGATGAACAAAACTATAATAACACAATTAAATAAACTATAATTCCTCATTAAATTACACAAATGATTAATTTCTTTTATAAAATGTCTCAATCTCAAAAAATATAAAATATCTATAATTTTCAATTCATTTTAGTTTTTAAAATTACTTCATTTAGTTTTCTTACCATTCATGAAATTGTAGATAATAGGATTTATAGCACTGTTAGCATAACAAAGCCAATGCGATACAAGAGAAGCAACTGTCGTGGCATGATTCTGAGGAAGACCTGTGGTATATCTAAAATAAAAATACATTAATAAATATATTCAAATAATCTAAATATTTGCACAAAAAATTACAATTCTTTAAAATATGTAGACTAAGATTCACACTTCTAGTAGTCTACGAAGAATGATCGGAAGAGATTTGGGCTTTGTTTAAAATAGTTGTCAACTATGTTAAGCTGTTTTATCAGTTTGTTACTTCATACAAAGTTTAAAATCTTTAATCTAATTATACTTTAAGAAATCTTTAAGTATATTTACCTAAGTGTATTTAACAGATGAACTGGGAGATAACAAGCGCCAAACATAACTACTACTGCTATTAACATTTTAGCAGCTTTCCGTCTTGAACGAATTTGTATGGCACAATTTTGATTAACTTGTGTAAATCTAATAGCTCCATTACGACATGTTTTCTTTTCTATAACTGAAAATATATGAATTAAATATGAGATTTAAACTTATTTTATTAATAATAAAAACTTTTGGGATTTAAAATTTACTTACTAAATTTAAAATCTCAAAAGTTTTGAATGTAACATTAGACTAACCATTTTGCTTAAATCTCTGCAGTTTAGCATTCCTTTTAGTAGTGTGTACTGAGCCAGGAATATTTTTATTCCACAAAACTTTAGCTATTTGATAATATGCAAGAGACATCAAGAAAAAGGGTATTACATATAATATAAGCAGGATGAAGAGTTGATATTTTGTGGTATCTCCTTCAGACCATGTGTAACCACAATCAGTTAAATATAGAGTTTCCACTCGGAGATTAGTAAAGGGACGAATATCCAATACTATAGCTTCAGGCAAGATAATTAATGATGAAAGTAACCAAATAACAGCAATGGATATTTTGGCTCGAGAAGCAGTACTTTTAAAACGTAGCGGATAGCAAATAGCATACCAACGATCAATAGAGATGAACGCAAGAGTTAATACTGAGACTGAAACAGAAACGCTCTGAAATTAAAAAAAAAAAAAAAATATATA